TAACGTCGCCCTCAAGCCTGGCGACCTCCTCGGTCTTCAGTGTTCGTACTAGGGCATCCATCATTATCTGGGCAAGGATACACTCAGTTAGCGGCGTGAGCCTGCAATCCATATCTTGCACCCACCTCCACCCCGCCACCCCACCCTCCTCCCCCTCTCCACCCTCCACCCCTCCACAAGGTCCGCAATACTTTCAACACAGATTCCGCTAAATATCACTTAAGTATCGGTGTCAGTTGAACCGCCCGACTACAACCATGATAACTTGCTCAGCTACAGCCTACGGCTGGCGCAATCCCTGAACGCGCTTCGCCATGCTAGCCTCTCCTGCTTCCAGCTCTTTCGAGCGCTTGTAAACCTTCTTCTTTGGGCGATTTGACCCCTGTGGCTGGTTCTCCTGCTTCGCTTGGCCTTTGCTTCTTCTTCATCTTCCTTGAGCTGTTGCGGCTCATCATTCTTGTCATCATCCTTTTGTTCCTCGTGCCCTTGTTTTGTGTTTCTTCTGCTGAGGAACTTGAATCTTGAACTCTCGCTCTACTGCTGCTCGACGACGGCTTCTTCTTTTCCTCTTCTGCGCCCATTTTGAGCATCTCTCTCTACTTTGCTGCTCGCTCTTCAGCAGCAATTTCTTCGAGCTTTCGCGGCTCCTTGCTCCTTGGCACTTTCAGCCAAACTTTCTGCCTTCTCTTGCGCAGCTGCTTCTGGCAACCAGCTGGCTCTTCCGGCGTCGCTGTCTTTGTCCCCTTTCTTCTTTCTTCTCCCACTGCCTTTACTAATGTTATCAGGTCTTGTAATCTTGTAGCGCTCTTCCTGTTGATCCGAGGCGGCAACCCGAATCTCACGATTGAACATGTAACGCGCAATCATGAACTCAAGGGTTGTAAGTTGCAAGAACTCGCAGCATCATCGACGCAAACGCAAGTGCAATCAGTCTTCGACCTCGTCCTTCAACCGTTCAACCACAATTCCTTGCGTACTCAGAGCTGCCAGGGGGCATGTCCTTTCTTGACCCCCAACATCTTTTTTTTCGACCCCTTGTCCCCTGGCTGACCCCTAAATATCTTCATTTTGACCCCTGAATCCCTTCTAAACGACCCTCTCTTTTTTCTTTATCCGCCCTCTCTATCTTTTTGGCTACCCCTCTCATTGCCCTCTACTTCTCTTGGCCAGCTGGTCTGGCAGCTGGCAGACACCAAACAAGCGGGAGTTGCAGACGCATCTCAATGGAACAGAAAGCGACGCAAATGGTCTTGGTCTCGCCCACCAAGGACCCGTGTGGCACGATCGCCCCAGTTACATGACCTGCGCCGCGAGCTGTGGACAGTGGACAACTCGCCACGCTTGATTGGCACCTGCACGTACCAGTGCTCTCCACTTTCCGAGGGCAGGCGACTGCACACTCCTGGGAGCACTTCCGCTGGATCTTGCGCGCAAGTAAATCCGACGAAGAGGCCTGCGTCCGGGCCCACGCGTAAACGCTTGCTTCACGAAGGATGCCGTGGCACCGAGCTCTACTGCGCCCACCCAGACCCGCTACAGGGCTGGCCGGGGGGGGGTGCAAAAAAGAACAAGGGGTCCCCCTGCAACAAGTCTCGCCATGAACGCAATGTTCAAAAGTCGGTAGAAACTTCACTAGCTTTGCCGTTGCTTCAGGTTCCGCAATTCCTTCACCCAGGAAACCTGTAACATAACTCAACCGAGTCATATGTTTCCGAATCTTCTTACGAGAGACTGCTTTCGTGCGTAGATCCAAACGCTGCCCGGCTTTCTTTGATCTTCAGGTCCTTCAAACGCAGTGCCCATGACAGATACACATCAAGACGATCATGACGGGCTTTACCCATACCTCTGAGAGGCATTGAGAGGTATCGCTGTCTTGAACTGTTACTATTGGAACACAACACCGAATCAGGACATATACCAAACCATCCTGCATCAGCTCTTGCAAGAGCGCAGCTTCTGACAAGGTTGGCGCTAAGGCGGTTGTTTCGGCCACGCAACTGCTCAGAGCTATGCATCGTTGTCTTGTCTGGAAATGGATCATGCTTCCGCTCAAAAAGATCATGTCGCAGCTTACGCTTATGCTTTGACGACATTGTTGATCAGCTGACCAATCCGAATCCGAACAAACTTTGATCAACGGTTTCTCTTTGGCAACATGTCTCCGCTTGGCGTTTACAGATTTCCAAATGGTTTCCACGAACATGAAACGTGTTGAGAACTTGGTGGAAGTGTTGCAGATGGAGGAAATTTATCTGAACAAGCAGCCGCGTCATGTCCGGCAGCTGGAGGTTTCAACCCCAGCCTGGAGTTGAGGAAGAGCCAACTCCAGACGACCGTCATCTTCAGAACGGAAATGGGCATTTTGTTGTGCCTGACCCCGGAGGGGCCGCACCTCATGTTCACGTTGAAGAGGTTGTCGACAAAGCTTTCAAAGGCGAATGAATGAGACACGAAAATCCTCAGGCGCTAAGCAAATGTGTGCAAGGTTGTCCAGACCTGGCGCTGAAGCATGAGGAGACTTTCCTCGGGATATGACTTCAAGCGGCGCGCAACAACTGGCAAGAGCTCCACTCCACCGCCCGTGATTGAGAACGTGCTGTTCGAGAAGCCAATCGATCTTTCGCCTTGCGTCGACGGTCCTGTGACCTTAGTTTTCAGATCTTTGCCTTTCAGCTTCTCCGCCAACTCTTGCAAACCTTCTTGGAGATGATGATGCCTGGCTTTCCTTTCTGCCGCCAAACTTTCTTTGGACTTCAATCTTACAATCTTCTGCGACTTGTTGTGCCACGCAGCCCGCCCTGCGCCGTGACCTGGCAACGTGTAGCCCAACTGGTAGTACTCACTGTCAACTTTAACTACGGTTGGCTGTTCTTGCTCTACCTGTAAAAACGCATCGTCTACGACGATGCTGCCAAGAAAACAACCTTCAGCTGCGACGAAAAGGCTGGACAGGAGGTTGATCGTGGAGTCTACCTGTGGGTGAAAACAGCGATGAGAGATCGTAGGAAGTGCATCATCTGAACCCCTCGCAACCAATCTTCCACGCCTCTTTCAGTAGCTATAGCAGTGTCGCCCGTGTCGCCAACCATACACCTATCGTGTTGGCAAGAATTTGCGCTGCACGACTTAGGTCATCGCTATGCTGTTGCTCGCGCCTGCCTGTCAACTTCCAGCGTTGTGTCTTCATCTAACTTTGGAGGTCCATCTTCGAACACGCCTGACCACACTGGCAAACTCACGGCTTCTTTGTTTATTTCATCTCCTCTGGTTTGCCATCGCAGCATCCCTCAGTTTCGTTTGCTTCCAAGTCCAATTCTTCTTCAGATTCCTCCACGTCTTCAAGCTCTACAACCTCATCTGCGTCATACTCCGGCTCTTCCTTTCGCAGTTTTTGAACTTTGCTTCGCCTGACTTGCTTCGTGATGCCTGTCTGTTTCTTCTGAGTTTCAGCTGTTCCTTTGCATTCTTTGTTTTGTTCCTTGAAGCTCTGGAAGCAGCGCCGACTGTTTCCAGACCCCGATAAGGGCTTGGAGAACCAGTATCATCTGGAACACGTTCTTCTGAAGATGGGGATATGGCTCTGTTGGATTAGCGTCATTTAGCTGCTCCTTCGCCTCGGTTCTTGGCCGTTGTCATCGTCTCCTCCGTCGCCCGTTGCAAGCGCCACAAGGCTTGACGAAACAGCAGAAAACGTGACTTGGGCTGGCATCGGTTTTGCGCCGTGCAACATTTCAATAACTCGAGTTCACGCGATGGAAGTCTTCGTGTTTGTTTTCTCGGAGCGATGCTGCATGGTCCGAAACTCCACGGTGTACGGCTGGTCTGTATGCTAGCGCCTCTAGGTCGTATGCTGGCGCGCATCGTCTGACTGTGCCTTGACACCAAGGTCATGTTCGATACCGCGCCCTTCTCTATGAAAACTCCTCTGCGTCCAGGTTGTCCTCTCTCCGTGGTCTTCGGCAACTGTCGTGCAAGTATGCAACTGCCCCAGAGTGCCAATGTTCTCTTGTACTCTCTGCCAAACATCTCCTCAGCACGTGCCTTTCACTTGTGAACAATAAACTGTTCAACAAGACGGCAGCGTGTTTGGATTCGACAGGGGTATAGCGTACTTACGGAAGTGATTTTCACCTTAGCCTGACTAAACTCCGTATACCGGAGTCCTCGCGAGGTTTCTCACCGCTTTAATCCATCTCTCCACTTACAAACCTTTATGTCCATCCTTCAGGCGATGCGACTTGAACTTCTGATCGTTTGATTTCCGGACCGCCTTCATTTTCTTTCTCAACCGCAGCATGAACGGCTCAGTATCTGCTCTGTTGATCAACGTCTTTTCTAACAACATTTACACAGCTAAGCCCTAACCATCTTTGATTATTGGGCTAGGGGTTGCATGCACGAACTTGCTCTCTTGATCAACCATGGCCAACCCTATGCGCACAACGCGTCCTTAGGGTCATTTGCGTTTTCTTCGTCACTAGTGAAGTCTATGCTCACCAAAGATCCGGAATGCCTTTTGGTTGACGTGTCGACGTCCGCTTCTCGCGACCTTCCTCCTCAAGCCTCGCGCCAATCTGCCGTGGGAGATGCATGTGGTGGTGGCAGTAGTAATTAGGAAGATATGCTAGTTTCTAGCTTGCTGTTTGGGGTCTTCGGCGGTGTAATTGTTGAGCCTTGCTGCTGTTTTGCAAGTGCCTCCTCAACTTTGCTGGAAGAGCGTGCTGAGCAGTGTTCGGTCAAACAGGTTGGGTCAAACATGCGTGACCTTGTCTGAACATGTGTGTACTCATACTAACGCTGTCAGGTCAAGTAAGCTCGTGCTGTGACTGGCTTACCATACATTGATGACAGATGACAGTTACTAGGCATGCTCAGGCACGTTGCCAAGTGAAAGGCAAAGTCAGCCAGTGGCAGCAACAGCCGCTTATCGACAACCAACACACGGAGTCAAGATGAGTCCAACCACACTGCGCTGTAAGCGTTTCTGAGGCAGCAGCGCCCTTCAACACCATTTCGATGCGGCAGCGCTGCGCCTCAATCCGGTGACACAAACTCAGAGATATTCTGAGATCAAATTCAGACTGCGCATCTTTGTTCGGCCCATGCTTCTTCCCGCTTTACTCTTCCTATTGCAGCTTGCACATCGTATCCGTGAAGATACTGGCATTACGCTAGAATTTTGACATGATATTTTGGAAGTCCTTCCTGCTGAGGATCCAACCAGATCCAGACGTTGCAGCCGAATCCCTGCCATCTGCGCTGGCCTGTGAGACAGTGAACTTACAGGCTAGCAGTGTATCGTGCACTGCAGCAGTCGAGATTTTCAGGAACAGCGAGCCTGGATGAGCTGCTGCAAGCGCTCGTTCAAGTCATGAATTCGATGTGCGGACCGGTTCAACAGGGCCCTGATCCCAGCATGCAGAAAGCCAAAAACAATGGCGAAGCTTCTTTCTTTCCATTCCAGCCGAGAGCGATGCTGGTTACGCGCCACCGATGCGTCAGCCTGCATAGGCTGTGCCCCACTGCAATGCTTGTTGCAGAACGACCACGGCCGCCTCGTCGCACAACCTGCGCCACTCATAACCAGAATGAACAGCACTGCAGGCAATAAGCAGGAACGGTTATGTAACAGTCCACCGAGCATGGCTCCCATTAAATTCCTCAGCACATCGTGCGTAGCCATGAAGTCCATTTGTTTTACTGCTGGCTGAAACACGAAAAGGGAGCCCCTCCCTATTGCAATAGCAATGCAAGCAGAACATGTTCCAGGTAAACAGCCAATTCCTACATGCAAGCGCGTCTCGGATTTATGGTGCGTCGATGCGCCCCCGGAGACCACCATGTTGAACATGTTTGCAATCAGCTGAAGCATGGAGAGAGGGCCCCACGGCCCTCTCAAGTGGACTTGCATGATACGATGGAGCAGAAAAACAGCCTGTGTTGTACAGTAGCGAAGCAACGAATGGCTAGGTTCCAGAATATCAGGCATACTGCGCCTCGGAAGCGAAAAATAAAAGCATGTGCCCTGACAGGGCACTGAACTGAACGTTTGCTATCGGCTGAACCACGAACAGCGGAGGAGAGTTGTATGTGTACACATCTCTGTGAGTACGCCCCCTTAGGGTACGCTCTTCTCAGGCATTTTATCCTGATGCTATCTATGGCAGTAAACATGCAAGCCAATTTGTTGGCTTGCAATGCATGACTGCATACGAAAACCAAAGGACATCAGGGATGCATTCAAACATGTGCCCCAGAGGGCCGAATTTAATTTGAAAACATGTATCACATATTATCAAATGTGCTGTGGGTTGATACACGAAGAATGTTGCCGGTCCCACTTTCCGCGCAGGTTTCCATGATTCTGCGGCAGATTGTGGCAGTAGGCATACAAGACAAGAAGAACTACTGTTTTTCAGGCATGCGTCCTTCGTAAAAATTGCCACCATTCTCACAACTTGCCTTGTTTTTGCTATTGCTGGAGGCGGACAGGTCTCGGTCTCATGTCTAGGATCGCCGTATCACAAAATGAGCACGGGAAATTTCTTAAATAGCGGGGCAGAGAGTGACCCCATAGCGTTGACTGCCAAGGTAATGGGTGGGGATGGTATGGCAAAATCATGCAAAATGAAGGGCGCCATCTTCACCCTCGATCATTTCATTACCTGCGGTCGACGTCGAGTCATGTCGAGTCTAGCGCTCCAACAAACACAGGGCATGTTCCATTCTCCGAAGTATGGGTCGGAGGGGCTTCCCTTCTCCCTGTATAGCGCTTAAAACTTTAACACATCAGAGCCAAAGTCCACAGCGAGAACAGCAGGAAGTGCCAATGTCAGCGCCATCCGCAAGATAGATCACAAGCCAATTTGTGATGGAGGCCTGTTGATGTCGCCAATGCCCTTCATGGCTTTCTGAAAGTGCGCCTGCGATTGCATCTCGCACATCTGCTGCAATTTGTCAAGGGCGGCTAGCTTCTGCTTCGATGAGATGCCTGAAGGTGCTGAGCCTGGCGGGTGAACGTCTCATTGTCGAGCCGTGCTGCATGTTTTGCTTAAGCGCACCCTCTTCTCCAGCTCGCCGCTGTGGCTCAGCGCCTTGCCCAGGCTGTCGTCGACCTGCAGGCTGATGTACAAAGCTACAGCATGGTCTGTCACTGCGATCCTGACAAGAGCAGACACCGTTGAGCGTTGCCTCGCTCAGATGCAGATTGCTCCCATCCTGTTCGGACTTCACTCCAAACTGCAGGCACGGCGCTTTGCCAAGCCGAAGGTGCAAAGACTACAACTTTTGGGCTGTGCCACGACAGATCTGCGTAAACCAAATGTCTTACGAGTAGCTATGCGGTGCACCTCCGCGTCGCCCATCTCAAGAAGGCGGATGCAACTTTCCGAGAGCTAGGCAGCCGGTCAGTTTACTTGAAACACCACTGCCTTAAAATTCGCTAGTTTGCAAGGCATGCTTTTGGGGGCCTACTGAAGGCCCATTTGTGCACCACTGGTTGATGCTTGTCAGTGTCACCTGAACATGATTTGAGCATGAAGACACTGTATACAAGCACAGGCGAAGGCTGTTGAATTGTCTTGCCAATGCTGGAGGTATCCTGAGGCACCTCTCTAATGCATGCCAGACATGTTGTGCTAGCAAATAACAGGAAGGATGCCATCTGCTGCTAAACCGCGTGGGCAAAAAGCATGATTTTGCAGCAATGTTTATCCCCATGGGGGGGTGTCCCATATATTCCTTCTCCTGAAAGCTGCCCTTTCACCGCCGTTTTCGTGGGCTTTCGCTTGCAGCATTTTCTTAAGACTTGCAACAAACCTTCTCCAAATCCTATCTGGCACTAGCTTTTGAACCTTTTGCCCTTTCGCCAGCTTTCGCCCACAGTTTTTGCATCATGCGTCCCCGTGCTCAAAGATTTCTAGAAATGGGTTTGCGGCCAATACCCACATCTTTGCGCTCCTCTACGCGGGCCGGCGAACAATCTCAAGACTTTTGGCGCGCAACATAAGCCCAGCAGAAGTCGCCGTAAATTTCCAATCAAAGACAGGTTCCGGAAACAGTCGACAGGACTGCTTGCTGCCCAGGGTTGCACAAAGTAGGTGCAATGCTTCAAGCAGCAAAAGCACCGTGTCAACAAACAGGCTGGATTGGACAGAAAAGTTCCCTCTATTCCCTCTAAGCTGTCCATGCTCTGCATGCCAAAAAGATCCAGTGGATCAACCTGAGGTGGCGTAGCTCATGCTCTGGGACTCTAGGTTCTAGAGAGCGCTGGATTTCTGTGAGGCTGACATGATCTGACTCTGCCTGAGGCTGAAACACCTACTCCGAAACTATGAGCCAAGCTTTGCAACCCTTGCCAGACGCCATAAGATGCCACACATGCCTAGCATGTCACTCGTGCCCTGGCCCGGGTTTGCACAAGCCGGACTCAATTCGACATCCACAGGAAATTGAAATCCAAAAATGAACATGCAACAAAGGCCGCCTAAGGTTCTGATACTGCCAACACAAAGCCCACCCAAAAAATGGGAAGACTCCAAAGGCACACCAACAGCAGATGCCCAAGGGCGGCAACGGTTCCAAGGACTGCGACCTAGAGCATCCCCTGATCTGCAACGGAGCGACAGCCGGGCGAAATATATATCAGAATCGTCACGAGAGGAGCGTCACGAGCTTGAAAGGGACGGCCCTTTTGCTGAAAGCAAACAAAACAGTGAGGATGTATGCAGGACTACGGCCCACAAGATATGAACGGTCATCTCCGAATCCCTCGTGTTGCCCTGCTACAGCCTCGAGCGATTGCAGCAAAACGTGCATGGGACAGCCGAAGAAGCAGGAGCGTATGACATACAACGCAACAACCTGAGCTTTTCATGCAAGCTTCGCTTCCCGATTCCGCCCGCGTCCACAAGCACTGCGGCGAAAGTGCGATTTCAAACCTGGACTGTACAAAGGCCTCACGCTCTCGGGGTGGCATGCTCGGGCGTGGATGGGACAACGGTGCCCTCCACACCTACTGCTACTTGCTCTCACTGCCGTTATCTCGTATCAAAAGCGCTTTCCCCTGAAATGGTCCGCTTTTGCCACGCCATTCAACTTTATGGGACATGTCACGACAGCTTGTAGGATAAACTGATAAATTTCCTGTATTGAATGCTTTCAAGCGGGCAAACACAACTTTTCAGGCAAACTGCAGTCTACAGCAGCCACTGTGCCGGCAGGCAGAGAAACCCTCAAACTAGAACACTTCTCGCATTCCCCTTCAAATTCTGACGGTGACCTAGCCCCCCCAATTATATGTAAAATGGGAGGGGTGGCCGTTCTTGCACCTGTGAACTCAGAAATGATTTATGAAATGGGGGCAGCGTCAGATCATGGGAACCTGAAAACAAGCGGTAAAGAGAGGAGTGGCGCGATGCCAGCAGTAAGTGTTTTCATAAAATGGAGGGGAGGGGGAAACGTCACTTTGTATTAAATATAATATGTACATAATGTGACTAGTGGCTTAAATAGCTCTTTACACGGAAAGGTGCTAAAGTATATCCAGAATTTGAAGGGCTGAAAGAAGAATAGAAAAAGCATGCCAATAAACAGCCTAAAATACAGTCTATGTACATACGTTCTACCATGCCTTTGGCTTTTTACTCTACACCTCCCTCGCACTAGTGCTTGATGCCACGTCCCTTTGGCTGCGTCATCGGAGGTCATCTTTCGTAAAGGGGCAGTAGGTATGTGAACAGGTTGGAATCATTGCATGCAATTGCTCACCCAAGAATCATATAGGGCTTAGCGATGTTTAGAGCGCATTCAGCCGGTGGCCGCGCCACCAGGGCAGCCGCAGCATTGATTTCGACGGAGTTTAAGGTTCAACTGTAGAGAACCAAGAAATCCCAAGTACAGCTAACAGAGTTGCACACCCTCAGCTGGCTTCAGTGAAGAGACCTTGAATAATGTGTTTTGGCAGCCGCTTGCTCCCTGTCAGGCCACTATTGGGAAGACCTTCAATAATGTCTTTCGGTTTTGCGCCCTAAGAGAGGGAGCTGAAAGTTTGGATGCCCCAAGAAAAGGATTTTGAAAGGCAGCCTTTTCCACAATACTTTCCCAACTCAGCCCTCAGAGATAATGTTGCAAACTCTTCAAACTCTATACCCCCCCCCCTACCAATAAGGGGTCCATAAAATTTGCCATCAGGCGTCCTCAATACAAACTTGAGAACCTCCCGCAATTCTGAGGGTTCTGTGGAGTGATTAAAAAAGGCATGGTCTTGGTCAGGATTCTTGAGGTTCAAGGCTTTTTAATAAAACTAATGAGCTTTAGATTCAAGATTTGGTAATTATTCGGATTCTGGATATATCTGAGGGCTGAGGTGGGACAGGATTTGAAAAATGGCAGCCTTTTAAAATCCTTTTCTTCTGGGGGCCTCGAAATTTGCAGCTTCCCTTTTGTGAAGGGGCCCAAACCAAAAACACATTATTCCAAGTCTTCCCAACAATGGCCTGAAATTGACTAAGCAGCAGCCAAAACAGGTTATTCAGGGTTTCTGACTACAGTCAATGCTCTAAATACTTGCCAAATCTCGAATCTGAAGCCAATTAGAAACCTTAAAAATCCTGCGGAATGATTTGGGCAGAGACGGTGGTCCAGCAGACCCCTGGACTTTGAATAATTACCATTGTTTGGAGACCTTTTTTTAATCTGTCATTCTTTGGCCCCTGCAGGTTTTGAGGCCCCAAGCAGAAGATTTCCAAAGGCAGACTTTCTAAACTCCTTTCCCAGCTCAGCCCTCAGAGATATCCAGAATCCAAATAGTTCCCACATTTTGAATCTAAAGCCAATTAGCTTTATTAAAAACCTTTGTTCGAAACCTTCAAAACCCTAGCCGGAATGATTTGGGCAAAGGGGTAGTCCAGCAGACCCCTGGACTTTGAATAGATACCTTTTTTGGGAGACCTTTTCCAATCTGTCATGCTTTGGCCCCTGCAGGTTTTGAAGCCCCAAGAAAAGGAATCTCAAAAACACAGCCCTTTTGAAATCCTTTCCCAGTCAGACCTCAGATATCCAGAATCCAGAATCCAAATGATTCACTAAATCTTGAATCTGAAGCCAGTGAAGTGTATTACGAGCCCCTTTCTTCGAAACCTTCCAGAATCCTAGCCAAAATCATGCGGGCAAAGGGGGTAGTCCAGCAGACCCCCGGGCCGTGAATAGTGCTAGCAGTAGTTACCATTGTTTTCAGACCCTTTTTTGAAACCTTAAAGATCCTGGCCCAACACCATCCCTTAAGCCCTCAGAATCGCGGGAGAGTCTGAAGTCGTCATTGAGGACGCCTAATTTCTGATTTTCTGGGGGCGCTGTTGTTAGGGGGAGGGAGGGGTATAGAGTTTAAGAAAAGTGCCACATCAAAAAAAACCTCGGGAATTTTTGGGATAGTTGGCTGCTCAATGTCGGTTCTCAAATATTTGCTCAATCAGTTCGTAATTGGGATCCTGTACAATCGCATACCGCCCATAGGCCATAGGCGGCCGTGCACAATGGGTTCGAGCTATGCGAGCAGATCCTCCTTCAGATACCCCTTGTGACATGGGTGGGGGTACCCCTCTTTTAAATGGGAATCCATGCCATGAGTTTACGCCATCCCCCCATTTCAGGATAAACAAGATACCGACGGCACTCACCCCATTTTGTATGAAAGGCTGTTTTAATAAAATCAACCAATGGAGGGGGGTGCCTCAATTGTGACATATTTCGGGGAGTACCCCTACTGGATCCCTATGTTTTGATAGCTCTTTGCGCAAGGAAGTGCCAAGGCAAATCAAAGATATGAAGGGCTGCAAGAAGAATGAAGCAAGCATGCCCATAAACAATCTGAATATAGTGTATATATACCTCAGTTGTTTACTCTACACCTCCCTCGCACCAGCGCTTGGTACGACGTCCCCGCGGCTGCGTCCTAAGAGGCCACCCTTTGCTAATGTGTAATCGGGTTTGATGTCAGGATAAGGCACCTGATGCACCTGTCTTTTCGCAGAGGGAAGAGCAACGCACACCAGCAAAAACAGCACCAGCAAGCACCTGCTGTTGCCCAGACCCATCACAACACATCGCGGCAGAAAGCTGCGAGCAGAAATAGAAGAAGCTGCAAAGCGACGACAGCATGAAAAGAACAAGTGGCGCGCGCGCGCTCGCGTGGGCGCAAGTGTTAGTGGCATGCACAGGGC